CACACACACACACACACACACACACACACACACACACACACACACACAAACACGACTTCATTAATGGCGGTACAGAATAGAGAGCTGTAGCAATAAAAGCAGACTGCTGGCTGTTTACAGGAGGGTGTAAGAGGGTGCCAGTTGAGGAGGACAGCTTTCTTTTTAAAGTTAAGCAGTTATTCTAAAATGTACTGTGCGGGCTGGAGAGAAGGCTCGGCCATTAACAGCACGCACTGCTCTTGCAGAGGACACAAGTTCTGTTCCTAGCACCAATGCGGGGTGGCTCACAACCACCAGGGGACTGACAGGCACTCTTGCGTCTACAGGCACCCAAACACAGGCGTACAGACCCCACAGAGACATACAGTTAGAAACAATAAAAATAAATCTTTTTGCTTGTTTTTGGGGACAGGGTGGCCTGAAATTTGCTGTGTAAACCAAGCTGGCCTCAAACATTGCCTTACAGAGATCCACCGGCCTCTGCCTCCCAAGAGGTGGAACTAGAGCACGCGCCACGATTCCTGAGAGCTGGGAGAAAAAGCTGCCTTTTGGGGGTGGTGTTGGGTTTTTCACAGGGCTTTGCCTTGGCTGTCCTGGAACTCTCCATATAAGATCAGCTTGGTCTCGGCCTCCCTGTGATTAAAGGCGTGTGCCAACAACTTTTTGTTTATTTTTTTCAAAGAACCTAAGGGCAGGTTGAGAGGATGTAACTCATATCAAAGCGCCTGCAAACATGCACAGTCCCGGCATGTTAAAACAAACAAAACCCCAAACAAACCAAAACCAAAGGGAACTCTCTCTCTCTTTTTAATCTGAAGGAGGCACAAAGCTGCAAAGCAACACAGACAGTCCTCCCAAAAAGCACTGCATACTGAAGCTGAAGAGTTCCGAGCCAGTCAAATGATCCCTCTAAATTCTATCTAGGAAAACAAAGGTTTATGTTGGAAAGGAGCTTCCAGCCTCTCCAATCACTGGAGTTCTTACTTCTCAAAGAAATGTGTCTATAACTGACAGGCTCTAAGACATGACATTTACAACATCAATGCAGAGAGGGGAAGATGAGGATGAATTACAAACATATATTTACATAAACGTTCATGCTGCCCCCACCAAACAGGCATTAATCCTAACCCTGACCAAACAAACGAAGGGACTGAAGGACAGTCAGTTGGTCTGTACAGGAAGGACTGAAGGACAGTCAGTTGGTCTGTACAGGAAGGACTGAAGGACAGTCAGTTGGTCTGT